CAGGCTGTGCGCGGGGTCAGCAGCGCTGCGCGGCGGGGGACGGGCACTATTTATGGTCCTTTGAGCTTTTGCCTGCCACAGCTGAACAGATGCATCTTCCTACAAAAATCTCCGGGTCCTTGGCTTTAAACGCCACCGTAACTGCTGGTTGTCTGGGAAGGTGCGCGGTGCTGCGGAAGGGGCTGTGCTACTGTGTGTTCTCCAGCACGGAGGGGGACAGAAGGGACGGGATGGGCAGTTGTCCTGCCCTTGAGAGCTGCCCCTGCTGCAAGTTAAAGGCTCCCTGTCAATAGCAGATTGGTCTAAAATCTAAGGAATCATTAAAAAAAAACCCCACCACACTAGAAAAAACAACCCTCTTTAAGCTTTCCAACAAAGAGGATGTTTCCAAACGTGGGCAGTGAGATGGGAATGAGCCCAGCTGTGCTGGTGGAAATCACCTCTGCCTGCCCCAGACCTGGGCACTAAACATCACAGCAGGAGCAGCTGGAGGGGAACCAGCCAGACACGGGGATGAACACCCCAGAGAGCCTTGCTGCCCAGGCCAGGAGAAAGGGAAAATGTGAAATAGCTCTGAGTAAGAAGGTATGCAAGCAAGGTGTCCTGCTTCTGCATCTGCAGTGCTATTAACAGTCAAGTAATTATCTTTTCATCATGAGAAGTGGAATTTCACAAGGGGAAAAAAAAAAAAAAGATGAAGACATGGTGTCCAAGAACGATCTGTTCCTAGGCTCTTAGAAATGGGCTCCCCACAGCGTGGAGCGAGGGGAGCAGAGCTTGGGGCTGGGAGGGGGACCCCCCCCTCCCCCCCCCAGGCTTCTCCCTGCCTGTGACTTCCCCATCCCTCGGGCAGCAGGACAGGTTCATGTGGCTCATGGGCTTAGTCCAAGGCTGTACGGAGGCGTATGCAGCTTGCTGAGCTCGCTAGTAAGCACCAACAAAGAATTTATTGATAATAAGCTAAAGGAGCAATAAAAAACCATGGCCGACTCCCCGCACTCATGAGGGTGCAGCGCCCGGAGGTTGCTCAGGTTGAGGTGATGGATGCTGGAGCAGCAACACAGGTTCACCTCCTCCGGCATTGCTCCTTCCCTGGAGGTGGTGATGGTCACGTTAACGGCAGAATTTTGGCCTTTCTGCTTCCTGCGGGGGATCTTAGTGCGGTGGGTGCCACAGCACAAGGTCACTGCTCATTCTGCCTCTTCTCCTTATGTCCCACAGATCCTCCCTGGACTCTACCTTGGGAACTTCATTGGTAAGACCCCCGCTGCCGCAGAGATGTCCTCCAGCCTCCAGGGAGCTGGTCTTGCTTGACTTCACTCCTCCCTGCCTGCAAACAGTGCCCAGTGCCCTGCCAGCACCCAAGTAAAACCTCGGCCTTCCCTTGGGTTCCCTTACGTAACGGCTGCCCAGAGCTCTTAGGACACACGGGGAGGGGAAGGGGCTGAGGGGGACCATGGTCTCACCAGGAAGGGTCCCAGCAGTGCCCACCCAGACATACCCCTGATATGACACCATCAGCCTGGACCAGGAAGCCCTTGTAGCTGTGCCCTTCCCCTGCACAAGGCAGCGAGCTGGGCAGGCTGGGAGGGAATAGAGGCACTGGGCAAGGCAGGCTTTACCTTCAGACCCCCCCTCCTCCCTGCCGAGTTTGGCCGCCGAGGTGAGCTGTGCCACATGCTCGAGCTGGCATGGAGTTGGGAGCAGAGGAGCTGGCAGTTCGGGGTGGTGCACCCCAGTTTTGCACTGTTTCAAGTGGTTTTCACTGCCGGGGGACAATTCATGACCAAACCCTGGTCACTGCCATGACAAACTAGTGTTTATTAGTGCTCCTGCCTCCTTAACTGCTCTTTTGGCAGCTTGATTCCTGCTCTAAGCACTCAGAAGGTTTAAAACCACTGTTGTGAAGTGCTAAGAAATGTCACTGGAGGCTGAACAGAGGCCCTGGCTGGGGCAGCCCTGTGCTCCCTGCACCCCACAGAGCACCTTGGGGTGGGCTGGGGAGTTGCTGGGAGCAGAGAGGAAAGGGCACCTGGCTCCCAGGTTCATCACAGGGGTTCCTGCAAGTAACCATTGATGTGGGATCTTGCCCTGATGCCACCAGAGCATCGCTCTGCCAAGCACCGACTGCTCACAGAGGTATTTTCTCCAACTGAAAGCTTTTCCAGCCGCAGCTGCCTCATCTCCTGGTAACACTTCTTTCCGTGGTCACTACTTGCCATCACTCTGCCTGCCCGAGGTGGGTGGGAAGGTGGTGGGTGCTGCGCAAGTCCCCACGAGGGTCCCCTCCTCCCTGCCCACAGGCACACGGTGTGGCTCGCCAATCGAGCGTCTCTCTTGAGTCTCACTCCTATTAAAATTCGAGTCATGCCCTTAGAACCTCGTGGTCTGGATTCCCAAGCCAAGGTTTTACACCATGTGAAAGTTTAGAAACTCAAAGTCACAAGATGGGTAAATGTTACTCCTCCTCTCGGTCAGCTCGTGCAGCATCCACTGGACGTGACGTGAGGCGGCTACTAAGCTGTTCAGCCACAAAGACGAGCACGCTCCCCTCCCAGCATAACTGGGCTGGACCAGTGATCGGGATCACAGCCAGGGGTGCAGGAGCATCAGGGGGAAGCAGGTCGCTGCCCCACAAAGCTGAGTACACCCAGTTTCTGTGCAGAGAGGAAGCGCACAGCACGCTGCGCGTCACTGCTGGGGTGTTTTCTGCAGATCCTGCAGGTGCTAAAGAGGAGCTCAGGCAGAGCGAGCCGAACTCAGGGTCGATACAAACGCTCCACTTCTGCAGTTTGCAAGATAAAGCAGATCCTTCAGGCTGCAGCAAGTCCCATTTCTACACGCATGTTTGCACAGGGGAGGTGCAGGCAGAGCACACATCTCCTCTCCAAGCTGGGGACAAGTACAGGCAGGCGGGAAGCTGCTGCTTGCAGAGAAGGGGGGGTTTCCATGCAGATGTGAATGCTCACCCAGCACAAGCAGCAAGTTCAAAGCGCCTTCAGGAAGGAGAACGTCTCTGGTTTGCTATCACAGGGAAATCCAGATTTCCAGGGTGTGTTTGCGTCTTTGCCCATGTCCGCGCCGCTGCATGTGGCAGGTGTGAAGCCATGATCCTCTGGAACGGGCCTTTTCATGCTGGATGTCTGCAGGAGCACAGCAGATGCAGTTGTGGGAAGTGGAGGGTAAGAAATAAATATATTCTGATATCTAGCTTTACCCTTTAGATGCCAAAGACCTGGAGCAGCTAAGCCGGAACAAGATCACCCATATCGTTTCGATCCATGAATCTCCCCAACCCTTGCTGCAGGTAGGGTCCCATACCCAACGCCGCCCTGTAGATCTCTGGAGGTCTTTGCATGCTGCGGCACTGTCCTTCCCCCTCTGAGCATCCTGTGGCATGCACAGCTGCCCTCTCTCACCAGTCAGTCGTCCCAGAGGAACTGGGCAGCCTCCCCAGCATGGGAAACTGGCCGTCTTGTGGCTATAACCTGGCCTTGAATGCTAACAGGAAACAATTTCCAGCTCTCCAGCCTCATCTTGTTTCCCATCCCCTCCCACCAGCTGCCTGTCCCCCACTGCCCTCCCCTACACAAGGGTCAAAGCAGCCCCAGCCCCACAGAGCGGGTTGACAGGCTGGAGGAGCGAAGCTCCACGGACAGGGCTGGGGCAAGGAGCAGAGAAGGGCTGCCAGAGTGGCTGGAGGACCCGAGTTCCTCTTCTTTTGTGTCTTCCAGGACATCACCTACCTCCGCATCCCCCTGCCCGACACCCCTGAGGCCAACATGTGAGTACCACGGGGAGGCCGGGACCGACTCAGGGCACGCGGGAGGGCTGGGCTCTGCAGGGCCATCGGGGGTGAGAGCTCATGGCACCCCCAGACCTTGAAGTGCTGCCTCCAGCTCCTCAAGCACAGGGACCCTCAGGCCAGAGGCAGGATGCCCAGGTGCCAGGTAGCACCTCTGGACCCCAGCAGGTTGAGAAACAGCCTCTCTGCAGCACCAACGGAGCTGGAGTGGGGAGAGTGGGTAAAGGATCTCGAGCCGGGCACAGGAGCTGGT